CTGTTCCCAGATCTCACTAGCAGTGTCTGCCCACATAAAGTTCTTCACATCAGGTTCCATGGCTGCAAGGAGCCAAGACATCACCATACTGTTTTCTTGGTCCCACCTATCATGTTCAGTTGTCTCACTCTTGGGTTCTTTCACCCTTCCATTTATGTAACCAGCTTTTCCCCTTGCCGTTACATAAAGTTTTACACTTTTAGCCCACTCCAGGTAGTTTAGACCATTTAAAGGGGTAATGGGCATGGGAAACATCATGTTTTCATCTCCCATACCAGCTGTGCTGCGGGTCGGTGTAACCCCCGATGAAGTTGAACCATAGTTTTCCATAGAGTACTACTGAACTCAAACCAAATCCCACACAACTACACAACAGCCACAAACAGAATACCAACCCTCAAGAAATTTACTTCTGAGATGTGGAAAAGAAAACAAAAAACTGCTGAAATCAACTCAGTGATGGTTCAGTCATTATAACAGCCCAGTAATCGGTCCAACACCGGCCAAGGCAGACGTTAGAAATAGTATACTATCAGTCCGACTACATCCCATACAGTCTAACAATCCAGCATCCAAACGAATGTATAGAACCAAGGAATAAGGCCTTCACACCATTGGCTAAAAACAAAAAAACAAGAACACATACCCTGTCTAGCACCTGTACGAAGGTGCCAACCAGAAACTGACTTCATAGCATCGAACAAAGAAGAAAGGGAGTCTCTTTCTGCATCGCTCTTCTTCGACTAGGGTTTCCTTGATATTACGACCAAGGAAGAACCCAAAGGAAGAGCCACAAGTAGTCTATTAGGGTTTCTCTGTCTTCCACATCCAAGAAATCAAAGAAGGAAAAGAGGATGAAGCAGGTTCAAATAGGAGAAGAGACCGAAATTCTTTTATAGCCCAGAACCTTGCTCTGATACCATGTAATCATTCATGGAGAGAGAGAGACGAGAGAAAGAGAAGAAGAGGAAGATATGATTGAGAGAAAAAGAAAACTACCTCTGGCTGCCGCCAGTTCATTATTTATATTAACTTAATATAAAAAGAATGGAGATTACAAGTATGCCCCTGGCGGCACTCCCTAGAAACAAACTAATAAGAAAGAAAGAAAATAACTAACTGACAGCATCTTAAGCTGACAACCCACTAACAGCAACTATAAACTAACAATTAAATAATCCTCACAACAGGTAAAAAGATAGAGGACAAGCGATTTTGAAAAAAGAAGCAACTAAAAAGGAAGCTTTAGGCAAAGGGAACCAAATCCTTTCATCAAACAAACATTACCCAAGAGAAGTAGAAGATCTGTAACACAAGCCAATTCTTACTCAACCCCTTCTAAACCCAAAATCCCAACACAAAATCAGGGGTGATAGGATAAGAAAGACACTTGGCAACAAGCTCATTTTTTCACAGGGAAACTGAATAGAGAGAAGAAAACAAATCCTTGGGCTGAATTACCCACCCAAATGTCTTCCCAAAACCTTACTAGATTCCTAGAGCAAACATCGTACCTGATATAACGAAGGAATTGGGGGAGGATCCTTGAAATTGCTTTGCATGGTGAAGCCAATGTAGCCCAATGAGATGAGCCAACATCCCAACTATTCTCCACTCACGTCCATGTGTACCACTGATCATCTCATGCCACAAAGAGCCACTCTCTTGGGGCCACCGCCATAACCATTTACCAAATGAAGCCACATTATTTCACACTATATTTCCCCTAGAACCAAACCACCCTACTCTTTGTTCCTACAGACCAAATCCCATCTTACTAAGTGATCCCTTTTCTCCTCCTTGGGTTCCCAAAGAAAATTCCTCATCAACCTCTCTAATCTCATAGCTTCCCCAGTAGGGATTCTAAAGACAAAGATAATAAACTGGTAAGTTGGCTAAGGCGGCCAGATCTGATTTTGTCCTTTTCCCATTCTTTTCTATTTATCTCTTCTTCTCTTCTTTGTAGAATTTTTTTTCTTATTACTTTTCTATCACAGGTTTCAGATCAGTTTGGAGTTCTGCAGTTTCTACTCTCTTATTAGAAGAAGGGCCCAAACAAACATTGTCAAGAGAAGAAAGCAACTTAGTGACACGAGGAAGTTCAGCCACCTACAAACCTCTACGAAAACTGAAGTCCCAGATTCCTAGTTCAAAGCAAGAGGGAGGACTGGAGGGGAGAGGAACGAGGAAATAGGTTCTTTTTTATAAAGGGAAAGAGAGTAAAGAGAGGGGAAAAGGTCTTTGAGAGGCAAGTTACCCACCCAAGTATCTTCCCAAAAAAGAACAAGATTGCCCGCACAAACATCATACTTTACACATTGGAGAAATTTGAGAAGAATGCCATGTATTGCCTTCCAAGGTGTTGATAGGGTAGCCCAACGAGATACTCTGGCACCTTAGCCTGAATTAGAACAGCCATGAATGCTACCCACCACACTAAGCTACAAACTCTCTCTCTCTCTCTCTCTCTCTCTCTCTTCATTGACCATCTCCAGAACCACTTTCCCAACAAGGCTTCCTTTTTAAGAACCAAATTCCCTAAACGTAGCCCCCTCACTCTTTACTATGACTAACTATCTCCCAACTATTTAAATGATCCATTTTTTCACCCATGATTCCCACAGAAAATCCCTCATCGACTTTTCAAAATTTCTAGCCTCCCTAGAGGGGATCTTGAAAATAGAAAGGAAGTACACCAGGAGATTGGTAAGTGAGACCCTGATCAAATTATCTTTCCCCCCAAGGAGATGCGATTCTTTTTCCATGTTACCAATAATCGTTTTTCAAATTTCTCCACAATTGGATTCTAGAAGCTACTTTCCTTAGGATTCTCACCCAAAGGTAAACCCAAATAAGTCAAGGGCCAGGAGGCAACAGAGCATCCCAAGTATGCAGAAATGGACTCAACCTCACTATCCTCCAAATGAATACCTACCCACACAACTCTTTTCAAAGTTGACTTTAAGGTTGGAGACACTCTCACTGGTTATTAGAACCTTAAGGTTGCTCACTAACCTCAAATCACTTCCCTCACAAAATATGATAATATTGTTTGCAAATTGAAGGTGGGTCACTGAAACACTATTTCTATCAATCTTCCAGCCACTTATTACCTCCTCCCTATCTGCTTTGGAAATCTATCTATTAAGCACATCTACCACCAAAGTAAAAAGGAAAGGAGATAGTGGATCACCTTGTCTTAAACCCCTATAGGCTAGAAAGAAGTCTCTTACTACTCCATTGACTAGCACAGAATAATGAGCCGAAGTGAGACATCTAGAGATCCCGTTACACCATCTTTCCCCAAAGCCACACAAGTGTTTCTTTTTCTATTTTAACATTGTAAAACTTTCATCCTGATAAATATACCCTTCATACTCATACTCTAATTAATAACTCTATTTGTGCTAGTTTAATTGGACTTCAAATCAAAGTTAAAAGTATTGGTATTACAAATAAAGTTGGAAAGGTAATTTTTAAGAAAGGTTGAAAGTATTGCAACATATTGACATGCATCATATGATACGTATTGGTTTGGTTTTTAGGGTAATCCATACATTAAATACTTTGAACTGGTTAAAATGCACAAGTTTAAATAAAAGCGATGGCAATAAAGTACAGGTCTGTAAGACCAAAAAAAGTACAAAAAAAGAGTATCATACATGCTCTATACTCAATTGAGCATGCTGATACTTTGAACTTTGATTTTAAGTTGTATCAGGATACATTTGGCAAATACTTGGATACAGTCGAACAATAACGATATGTGTAAATATATTAGAAAAACCCATAAATCTCACAAATGCATCAACAACACTAAATCCAAGGCCCAGATGACTTCACATAAGGTATAAATGCTTAAGAAACATATTTTAAAAATTTATGCAAATTGCAAAATATGAACCATAGGGGTACATTTGGAAAAATGTTGGAAGAATTAAGATATAATGATATATATCAATTCACTTATGAAACCAATGGAAATCTCATTAATACTTGAAAAATACTTGAGTTAGGGGGTATTGGCCAATTTGAATGGTTTTTTAGCAAAAATAAATGCTATGTCAGCAAAAAAATATACATTTTTGCTGATGTGACAGTTCTTTTTTGTTTATACATTGACGAACACTCCCTTAATGATCAATTATTTTTTAATTTTCTGGTTTGATATAGAAAGACTATAGCTCCATATTTTCCAAAAGCCCAAAACAAATTCATTAATATTATACATAGATACTCCGGTGTGTTTCACATCTACCACATGCCAGCCCCTTGAGTAGGTAATGAATTGAATCCAATCTTGGCATTTCAATAATTTACGATTGCCAAGAAACAATTTAAACAAGGTGCCCCTAGATCTTTAAGAAATCAATTGATTCCATTTCCTCTTTACAACAGGAAATATTTTCACTTATTGGACAGTTCAAGGGTCCTGCTTGCTTTCCCAGAACCAACACACTCCCTTCCAGAAAAATAGAATACTACAGTAGGAAAAAGAAGAACAATAATACTACAAAAAAAAAAATCTAGACTAGTAGGTACTAGGTAGCCCTTCTATCTAGTGTATCTTCTCAAGGGAGACCCCCCCCCACCCACCAGCACCAAAAAGAAACAAAAGGTCAAGGGAAATATCTTGGGTCTGGGTATGCAAGACCTTAGATGGATATAAGACCCTAGTAACTAACTTGCAATCTACTGATGTTTCAAGAATCACGACTTACCACTAGACTGGTCCCAGTTATAACTTTCATCATATCACAAATCAGAATAATCAAATCATTCTCAAGCTTGATACCAGTTAGGACCCAATCTACGGTGGGATACTTGGAGTTTCATTCAACCTTTTTCCATCTTTTCTTCTTCACACCATGAAGAAAAATAAAAGAAATGTTTTTAGTTGGATAAGGCACTTCACAGAACAGAATGATGAAACAAATTCATGTAACCCATTATAGTTGGGACAAGGGTTAGATGATGATGAAGAAAAAGAAATTGGCTACCTTTGCGTTATTGCATTTCTTAACTGTACAGCACCAGCACCATCTCCACCTTGAGTGGATTTAGACATCATATGTCATCCACGTCGCAGGATCTGAGTGCAACTTAAAAATTGACTGAATCCTTCATCAGGCATGAGTTAGAAGTGATGGTTCAGAACCAAACTAGAAAGATAATTAAAGAATGATTTGGAACAAAACAAAATTATACCTTCATCATATCCACCATTGGCATCAGAGTTGAATTTGGAGTGATAACATGGCCCATGGGGCAAAAACTGCAATGCATACATACCACTAAATAAACATTGTATGTGTCAAACACTTTATATTTTAGTGTAGATTCTTTTTTCATCATTGAATATTTTTAGTGTAAATTCATGTCATGGGTAAAACAGGGCATAAAGCACAATGGAATAAAGTTTAGCTAGGAGATAAATAGCAGAACCATAACAAAGATCTGACTATCAGTAAATAAAACAGAATGGGAAAAAGGATTAATTTAAAAAAAATGGTTCTCCATCCAATAAATTATTGTTCCATCTTAAGCCTTCTATTAGATATGCAAATCCTGAATCAAACATATTCTATTTTATTATTATATAGACTCAAATTACTAAATCCTGAATCAAACATATTCTATTTTATATATTGTATCTGCTTTCCTTTTATTTCCTCACATACATGGGCACTAATAAATGGCAAAAAATACAATAAAAAATCACTCCTCTACATGCACTACCATTACTGCTACTTCAGCACCATGATATGCAGCAGAGTGAAAGCCACCAATGGAAACACCTACCTGAAACAAAGTGAGAGCCATCATGGAAAGAGATATCTACTGCTAGAGTGAGAGCTGCTGGTGAGAGAGCTAGTGCTGCAAAAGTGAAAGCTACCTGATCCACTGAGATGTTGGCTGGGGAGTTGTGGAGTAAGATGGTATGTCAAACGTGATAGTCTTAAGGGGTTAACTTGCCATGTTCCATCAGTCCTAGGGATTTTGGCATATTGGTTTCAATGAGTTAACATGGTGGCAAAGCTGATAAAAAAAGTTAACATGGTGACAGCACTTTCTTGCAACCCGACAATAAAACACAGAAATGCAAAGAATCAAGCATACAACCAAATTACCCAATGAGTGGTTGCCTTTTTTCCTACCCCAAATGGCATAAAAACAACCCACTAACATATTAAAAAATAGAGGCTACATCCAAGGTCTACTATCTTATTATGACAATCAAACTGCTAAGGTAGCCTAATATGTGATGTGTGTAGTCGTATGATCGACTACCTTACCAACACAAATTAAAAATATCAAGGGAGCCTAATATGTTAAGCAATTGGTATAAGTGAAAAATCAAATCACCCAATGAGTGCATGCCTGGATGATTTGGTTTCAATAAGTTAACATGGTGACAACACTTTCTTGCAACCCTGCAATAAAACACAGAAACCTAACAATCACATATAAAACCAAATTACCCAGTGAGTGATTTCTTTTTTTCCAATCCTAAATGACATAAAAACAACCCACTAACATATGGAAAAATAGAGGCTACCTCCAAGGTCTACTACCTTACTATGACAATCAAGAACTGCAAAGGTAGCCTAATATGTGTTGTGTGTGGTCACATGGCCTACTATCTTGCCAAGACAAATTAGAAATGTCAAGGTAGCCTAATATGTTAAGTGATCGGCTCAAGTGAAAAATCAAATTACCCATTCAGTGCATGCCTGATTGATTTTGTTTCAATGAGTTAACATGGTAACAACATTTTCTTTTGCAAACCTACAATAAAATAGAGAAATGCTAACAATACCAAATTACCCAGTGACTGGTTAACTTTTTTTCCTACCCCAAAGGGCATAAAACCAGCCCACTAACATATGGAAAAATAGAGGCTACCTCCAAGGTCTACTACCTTACTATGACAACCAAGAACTATAAAGTTAGCCTAATATGTGTTGTGTGTGGTCACATGGTTTACTATCTTACCAAGCTAAGTTAGAAACATCAAGGTAGCCTAACATGTCAAGTGATTGTTTCAAGTGAAAAATCAAATCACCCAATCAGTGCATGCCTAGTTGATTTAGTTTTGATGAGTTTCAATGGTGACAACATTTCTTGCAACTCTACAATACAGAGAAATGCTAACAAAAAAGTGTAAAACCAAATTACCCAATGAGTGAGCTGACAAACAAAAGATGAAACTAGGGTTTAGAGAAGAGAGAAAGCAAGAGGAGAGAAGAAGAAGAAGAAGAGGAGGAGATGTGTCAAGAGGTGTGTTCTAATTACTATTCACACCCTCAAAAAAAACTTTATACTTTGAAAATAATAATTACAAGGAAGCCTTTACTTGGGGGGCCAACTACAAAAATAGTACAAGGAAGAGAAAAAGTTTCAAAAATACCCCTATCTAAGCAATCTCAACACTCCCCCTCAAGCTGAGCATATATGTTAATCATGCTCAACTTGTCAAGGTTCTTAGCAAACTTTGGATGGTGGACACCTTTAGTAAGGCAATAAACTAGTTGGTCTTCCAACCTTACAAAAGGAAGGCAAATCTCTCCGCTAGCAACCTTTTCTCTAATGAAGTGCCTATCCACCTCAATATGCTTTGTATGATCACGTTGGACAGGATTGTGGGCAATATTTATGGCTGGTTGATTGTCACAATATAGTCTCATGGGATATCTGCTTGGATGCCCATCTCAGTCAATAAGGTTTTCGACCAGAGTAGTTCAGACACTTCATGAGACATTGCCCTATACTTTGCCTCAGCACTAGAACGAACAACCACAGATTGTTTTTTACTTTTCCACGAAATCAAATTGCCTCCCACTAAGGCATAATAACCAGATGTAGATCTTTTATCATCAATTGACCCTGCCCAATCAACATCTGTGTAAGCCTCAATCTTTAGATGGCCGTGGTTGGAATACAGCATCCCTTTACCAGGGCATCCTTTCAGGTAGGCTAAAATTTTGTTAACTGCCTGCATATGAGATGTCCTGGGTTCATGTATATATTGGCTAACCACTCCAACAGCATAGGATATGTCAAGTCTAGTCAAGCAGAGATACAGAAGACGACCTACCAATCTTTGATATATCCCCCTGTCTGGAAGAACTTCTCCTTTAGTAGAACTCAACTTGTGGTTAAGATCAATTGGAGTTTCTGCAGGCTTACAACCAAATTTCCCAACTTCATAAAGCAAATCAAGTACATACTTCCTTTGTGACAGAAAAATTCCCTTCTTGAGTCTCGCAACTTCAATGCCAAGAAAATATCGGAGATCACCAAGGTCCTTAATCTCAAATTTAGAAGCGATGAAGGACTTTAATTGTGAGATACCTGTGATATCATCACCTGTCACAACAATGTCATCAACATATACTATCAACATTGTTACTCTACTATCAACTCTTCTAATGAATAAGGTGTGGTCAGCCTGAGACTGAGCAAACCCAATCTTTAAGATAGCATTTTTGAACTTGTCAAACCAGGCTTTTGGGGGCTATTTGAGACCATATAACGACTTCTTCAGGCGACAGACTTTTCCATCACTATTAGGAAAGCTTACACCAGGTGGTAAGTCCATATACACTTCCTCTTGTAAGTCCCCATTAAGGAAGGCATTCTTTACATCCATTTGATATAAAGGCCAAGAGTAATGGGCAGCAAGAGACAAGACCACACGAATAGAGTTCATTTTAGCAATTAGAGTAAAGGTTTCTAGATAATCAATGCCATAAATTTGAGTGTATCCTTTGGCTACAAATCGAGCTTCGTACCTCTCAATTGAGCCATCTACCTTGTGCTTAACAATATAAACCCACTTACACCTAACATGAATCTTATCTTTTGGGCAAGGAACAACCTCCCAAGTTTGGTTCTTTATTAGGGCCTACATTTCTTGATTCATAGCTTTCTTCCAATGTGGGGATTGCATTGCCTCTATAAAATTACGAGGGATGGAAACGGAAGAGATGACAGAAATATAGGCACAATAGGAAGGTGAGAGAGCATCATAAGACACATAATTAGTAATAGGATACTTGTTACATGTCCTCTTCCCTTTTCAAATGGCAATAGGAAGATTAAGGTCAGAATCAATAATAGGATTATCAAGAGCTTCAAGATTACATGAGTCTGGGGAATCAGATTGTGATGAGCATTCAGCTTCAGGAGCCACCCTCTTATTGTGCCTGATGAAAAACTGTTGCCAGGACCGAGGTCGATACACCGGAGGAGGAGGGAAGAAAGGGAGGAACAAGAAGACAGAAGGGAGTCCAATCTTCACTCGCATTCTCCCCCTGAAGAGAATGATGGAATGACTGAAAAAAGGAAGAGGACTCCAAAAAGGTAACATCTTTAGAGACATATCTCTTTCTAGATAAAGCATCAAAGCATCTATAGCCTTTCTAGACTGGAGAGTAACCAAAAAATACAGATTTAACTGATTTAGGATCAAACTTACGTCGGGAAGGACTCATGTCATGAACAAAACAAACACAACCAAAGATCTTGAGGGGTAGATTAAAAGGAGGTTCATCGGGGAAGAGAAATTGATGAGGAGAATGAAGGTTTAGGACCCTTGACGGGAGTCTGTTAATAAGATATACAGTTGTCTCAACAGCATCACCCCAAAAACGAATGGGAACATGAGTTTGAAACAGTAAACCACGAGCAACTTCAACAACATGCCCGTTCTTCCTTTCAACCACCCCATTTTGTTGTGGAGTATGACTGCATGAACTTTGGTGAATAATACCCCGATCTTCAAGAAATCTATGCAACTGATGTTCAAAGTATTCTTTGGCATTGTCAGATCTTATTATTTTCACTCTTTTATCAAATTGTGTCTCTATCATATTCATGAAGTTTTGAACAATCATAGGAACTTCATCCCGACTTTTCATCAAGTAGAGCCATGTATACCGACTGTAGTCATCAATGAAGAGGATGAAATATTTATACCCACCCATGCAAGGGATAGCATATGGGCCCCAAACATCAGTATGGATCAAATGGAAAGCAACATTACTTCTTGTATAGCTTGCAAAATATGTGGTTCTACATTGTTTGGACAAATGACAAACTTCACATTCAAAATTCAACTTTGGCACAAAGTCAAACAAGTTTGAAAACAAAAGTTTTATAAAATTGAAAGACATATGACCAAGACGACAATGCCATAATTTCAAAAGACTCATTTTTTCATTTGAACAAAACTCAATCTGGCTTGACAGTCCATGCTCTGAAGGTCCATCAAAGAGGTAGACTCCATCAACTTCATGCCCACTTCCAATCATCTTCCCTGTGCTTAGGTCCTGAAAAACACAATGGATAGGAAAAAAGTCACTGAGCAATTATGGGATTTCGTGAGAGAACTAACAAACAACAAATTTTTATATAGCTGGGGCATATGAAGAACAAATCCAAGAGAAAGGTTATGAGTGAGTTTGAGTTCACCCTGACCCGAAATAGGGGTCTGAGATCCATCAACAACAGTAATCTTGCCCTTCCCTGGGGTTAACTTATATGAGGTAAAATGTGAGGGTATACCAGTCATATGGGCACTGGCCCCAGAGTCTACAATCCATGGGTTAAAAGATGTGGAACAAGAAAGTGCAGTACTTGTTTTGGCATATGAACTAGATGGATTACTAGGCCTAGAACCAAATGAGGAGGATGTACCACTCTTTTCCAGCTGCAACAATATATCCATAAGTTTGTCCATTACGTCAGAGGAATCAAGCACATCAGAAGGTTGAGCACCATTACCAACTGTAGACAAGTGAGGTTGCCCTTCTTCCCGGTTTTGTACTTTTTCGACTTTAAATGAGGATTGAGCTTTCAACACCTTTCCTTAGTGTGTCTTGGCTTCTTGCAATAATCACAAATAACATCCTTAGCCTTCTCAGTAATAGGGTGCTTGCTAGTATTTTGCTTAGGTCGAAATGACATAAAAGCAAAGTGATCAATCATAGGAGGTTGCATAATGGCGGTCTTTCGACTTTCTTCCCCTTGTACAAGGGAGTAAGCGGAAGCAAGAGAGACAATGCCAGTACTAAGAATGTGTTGCCTGGTAAAATCAAATTCTGAATTTAAGCCAGCCAAGAAATCAAACACTCTATTCTCTTCTATGTACTTCTGATATTGCTCACCATCTTCAGGGTCCTTCCATACGAGTGCTTTCAAGTGATTCATTTCTTCCCGAATAGATTGTAGAAAAGAGAAATACATAGCCACAGATCTCTCCCCTTGACACATACTACAAGCTTCCCTCCGAAGCTGGTACACTCTAGCTGTATTATTAACTTGGGAATAAGTGGCAACAACTCTATCCCAAATATCCTTGGTTGTTGGAAGAAACATGTACTTTTGGGCAATATAAAGTTGCATTGAGCAAATCAGCCATGACATCACAAGGGAGTTATCCTGTTCCCACTTTGCAAATTTCAGGTCTTCAAGATTTGGCTTCACCTTATTTCCTGTGATGAATCCTAGTTTACCTCTCCCAGTAATAGTAAGTTTAGCAAATTGAGACCACTTTAAAAAATTGGTTCCATCAAGTTTAACTGTAGTTATCATCCCACTAGTAATATCTGCACTTCCCGGGAATACACTGGAAACCATCTGAACATCCTTAGATGATTCCATATTCTATCAAGACACTTTCTCGCCAACCAAAAAAAGACCCCCAATACTTAACCAAAGCCACAAACCCAAGAACCAAGGTCACCACACGGTTAAGATGCAAAAGGAGGCCAAAAAACCAAGTTGGCGGCAAAATAAAGGGAGAAAAAAAAAACACCCAAAAATTATACAGGGCTTAGAAAATTACAGGACAACTTTCTATCATTCCCCAAGAGTAAAACGACTTGAATGGTCTAGATTTTACAGCAGAAGAAGCCATTAAATATGATGTACAAGGCCCGACATTAGATCTGAAATTTCTGCGATTTTCCCCTTGAAAAAATCACTAAAAATCATAGAAGCTTTGAATGAGGGCAAGAGTCATACCAAAATTCCTCTAAAATCAGGGCAAATCAAACCATGTAAGTTTCATTGGCTGCCGCCGACACCTGTACAAACTGCTGACGTCATCCGACGGCGGTCTTTGACGTCAGCAGTTCACCTCATGAGAGAGGATCAGCAGGAGAGGTATTCCAAGTTCCCTTACCCGCTCTGATACCAAGTTGACAAACAAAAGATGAAACTAGGGTTTAGAGAAGAGAGAAAGCAAGAGGAGAGAAGAAGAAGAAGAAGAAGAAGAAGAAGATGTGTCGAGAGGTGTGTTCTAGTTATTGTTCACATCCTCAAAAAAACTTTATACTTTGAAAATAATAATTACAAGGAAGCCCTTACTTGGGGGGCCAACTACAAAAATAGTACAAGGAAGAGAAAAAGTTTCAAAAATACCCCTGTCTAAGCAATCTCAACAGAGTGATCGCCCTTTTTTCCTACCCCAAAGGACATAAAAACAGCCCACTAACATATGGAAAAATAGAGGCTACCTCTAAGGTCTACTACCTAACTATGACAATCAAGAACTGCAAAGGTAATATGTTGTGTGTGTTCACATGGTCTACTATCTTACCAAGAGAAGTTAGAAATGTCAAGGTAGCCTAACATGTTAAGCGGGTTAAAGTAAAAAAATCAAGTCGCCCAATGAATGCATGCCTTGGTGATTTGATTTCCATGAGTTAACATAGTGACAAGTGACAACACTTTCTTGCAACCCTATAACAAAACACAGAAATGCTAACAATCAAATGTAAAACCAAATTACCCAGTGTGTGATTGCCTTTTTTCCGATCCCAAATAACATAAAAACAATCCACTAACATGTGGAAAAATAGAGGGTGCCTCCAAGACTTACTACCTTACTATGACAATCAAGAACTGCAAATTTAGCCTAATGTGTTATGTGTGGTCACATGGTCCACCTCCACCATCTTACCAAGACAAATTAGAAATATCAAGGTAGCCTAACATGTTAAGGGATGTTGAATGAACTCCTTTGACAAATAATTTGAAGGTTTCATAGCTGTAATGGCTGCTTGCAATTAAAGAGAAGTACAAAGAGAAAGCCTAGAATCAGTCTATCGGAATCACAAACCATAAGCATTGTATACAGGAAAAATCATTCAAATGTCATTCCAAAATCATCCACCACATTTTTGCAATAATACACACATGTATAGACTGATGAGGTCAACCTGACTCTTTCCTAAATAAAGGAAAGTCAGACTTCTGAATCCTGATTCTATCACTCACACTCCAACTCAAAAAAAAAAAAAAAACCTTCTAAGCTACTTAACCAATGACCATTTTTTTATGCACAACTAAATTATGATTAGATGAACCAAGCTAATAGAATAAACCCCACAAACAACCTAAAAATGACCAAAATACCCCTACTGTAAAAAAATTATACAAAAATCCATAAAACATCAGGTTTGATTTTTCTTTTTGTTCTTGTAATGACCATATCACCTAGACTAGACTACTTACCATGAAAATGAATTTAAAAAAGGAAATAATTTAAAAGAAATGAAATGAGAATGTAAGGCTAGCTTAACATACCTAGAATAAATTTAAGTTGTGAAAAAACAGATCATATTTAAGACTAGCTTAAATACATTCACAAGAATGATTAAATGCAAACAACTATAATATGAAAAAACAGAATATATTTTTGATGGATATAACTAATTACAACAATAGCAGAAAGATTCAAGTTGTGCAAGGGTTAGAAGGGAAGCATATCAAGACATGGGGATTACATGCAAAAAATGCATTATGTGAAATTGTGGTAAAAAACAAAGCACACTAAGATGAAAAATGAAAAATATAAATAAAATTCAACCAGAATAATCTCTTTGTTTTACAGAAGTTTATGCCCTGCATGTTTAAAGCAGTACAAAGACAGTACTGATAACTCAATTTGATTTGGAAAAATATACCATGGAAAATTAAATGTAGAAACAGATAGGACTAACAAAACAAGTACTAAAATGTTAGAAATTAATTTTATTCTAGGAGTCTAGGATTAATAGTCCAGGCTGATTTTCAAAGATCAACCATAATGTAAAAGAATCAATCATGGAACATAACTGTGGGAAAATGAAATGTTAATACCTTATAACTCAGAAGTTTTTCTTAACTCAATAGTCAATACCCTTGGCAATTGGCATATCACCTCCTATAAGGTTTGAAATGATAACGCTGAAATTCAGAACCAAATGTTACAGACTCTTCCTCAAGCTTCTTCTTCAATCTTCTCCAAGTTCTCAACATATCAGACTGTATGAGACCTCGGTAGAGAGTCTCAAATGTAATCTTCTGTGGAAGAAAACCCTTTTCTATCATTTCCACGAAGAAATGGCAAGCATCTCTCCACTTCTTCTTGTCACACAACCCATGAATCAATAATGTATAGGAATCCAAATCTGGCCCAACTCCATTCTCTTTCATGTCATCCCATATCTCTCGTACAATGTCCATCTGATCTAGTTTTGAAAACATTCCCACTAAGATGTTATATGTGTGCATGCTAGGCATGCAAGAAGATCCATCCTTCATCTTCCTATAAAGTTTCAAAGCACTATCCGCATCCTTCCTCCCTCTGTATTCCTTAAAGAAACAGTTATAAGTGGCAGCAGATGGGCTTACTCCATTAGCCACCATTTCCTTAAGCAGTTCTTCTGCATCTTGTAGTCTACCACAGGAGCAAAGGCATTTAATGACGGATGTATACGTTGCTATTGTAGGACAAATTCCTTTGTCTTTCATCAAATTTATCTTATCAAGAGACAAGTCTGGTTTATGGGCCCGACTATAAACATGGAGAACAATAGAATAGCTTGTGACATCAGGTTCTATTCCTTTCCTATGCATTTCATCAAGCAAGTTCTCTGCTGCTCGAATGGTTCTCTCAAATCGGGCTTCAGGATGCAAACTTGATCTCCGACAGATTCCATCTAAGAGAACATTATAAGTAACGATGTTTGGCTCGAATCCACGATCCGCCATTTCCCTAAAGAATTTTTCGGCCATTTGGAGTTTGTTCAGCTTACACCAACCGTAAATCAGAACTGTATAAGTTTTAGCATCGGGTTCAAATTTAAATTTCCTTTTATTAAAGATCTCCGTAGCAACCTTCACATATCCGTATTTACAAAGCGTATCAAGAAGGTAGCGGAAATCTTCTCCATCCGCTTCTCTCTCTATGAAATTTTCCATGTCATCAAAGGCACGAATTGCTTGACGAGTAAGACCTGCAGCTATTAATCTACGAATCAAGATGCCAAAAGTTTTTGAAGTGGGTCTCAGATTCAGCTGATCCATTTCAATGATTAATTGCCAAGCGACATCGAATTGGCGTACTTTTCCTAATATATCAATCATCAGATCATAGGCGACGGCATCATGCCGGTAATTCGCCTGATCTTTTGCCCAAATGAAGAATCCTAATGCGATCTTTGAGACATTTCTTAGTCGAATTAGAGTTTGGTGAACCAGATGAGTACAAACTCTAATGCCATTAAGTTGTAGAGAGGATTCCATGGTATGAAAAGGATTATGCTGTTCGATTAAGATTCTGGAAACCATGTCTACGTCTTTGGATATCTGGAGAGAAGGAAGCGCGGGCTTTAGGGTTTCTGAAAACCTTAGTTCCGTCTCTTCGTTTTGGAGGGGCTCGTTAAAATCGGATGCGTAGGATAAGAAGCGTATTTTAAAAAAGGAATAGGACACCAGAGAAAAATGGCGATGAGCTAACCTGAACGCCATTGGCGACGTCGACTAACCTCTACCACCAAGCCTCAGGAAATGCTCACTGAATTGCCACCTTGTCATGTATTCTCTGCAATGTCGCTAGAGGGTAGAGTGTAGAGGCTACAGAAGTAGCGGGAACACAGCGGCGGATCTTCTTCACCTCTTTTCTTCATTGCATTTGTTTTATCAGGCTAAATAATGGGCTGACTTGGGCTTGATCTTCGTCCTGGGCCTCGGGGAACTTGGGTGGGCTCGGGTTGGGAAATTGTCAAAAGGCTCGGCCCGAAAGACCATACCCGATACAGTGTATATTCTTCGGCTACCCGACCGGACAGGCGGCACCCATACTGAAAGTTGGAGATAACTCCTAAGCCGAACGGCCCAAATCCAACCCCGTTAGTCTGGGCCTCGGGTCTTAATCGGATTGCATGTCGGATCGGATTTCAAGTTTCGGAGTCCATTGACATCACTACGGTTTTCAAGATTAGTTAACTATATATTAAGGCATGGACAAAATTGTCCAAATCTTTAGTTAGATAATCATGGCTAAAAAATACTTCTTTCAGTGATGTTGAATGGGATCTATAAAAATGGGCAAAATGGGATATATGAATGGTAGGAGTGTTTTACCAATATATATATATATATGAATTAGGACTGCAACTTGGGTCGGGTTGGACTGAACCAAACCCGAAAAGGTTGGGTTTGTTGGGTCGGATTGATGATCAGGTTAAGGTTAGAGGTGAAATTCTTGAACCTGAACCTGACCCCTATAGTACTAGACTACTAGTCTACTATATATATAAACAATGATTTGTTTAAATGTATGATAGTTGAATAGCCCCCTATATACTATCATGCCTTTCTTTAAGTTAATCACATCCTAATCAAGTAATCAACAAAACTAAAACCCTAATAACCTTGTCTTTTTTGAAAATTTTATTCTTCTCCTCTCCTCTTTGCCGCCCATCTAAAGACTAAAGTGTTATACTCTCTCCTGTTTGCCGCCCAGACACCCATCACCCATAGCTGCCTGATGGCTTGCTGCCGCATAACTAGTAAGTGTTAAATCTTAATATTTTTTTGATTTCTTCCTTTCCTTTCACGTGAGATTAAATCATCAAATGGTGTTTTTAGTTTTTTACTAATATGGAAAGATATGAATAAGCCGTTCACCTGTTCGTCACTCACAACTCATGGCTGATGGCACACATTAAATATTTTTTTGTCTCAAATGGTGTTTTTAAGTTTTTTACTACACACACTATTTCAGACTTTTGGATTAGGTTTCTTGTCCTAGGATGATTAGAATAGGGCTATAGGGCCTGTCATTTTACTATTTATGTAACTGTTACTCTATTAGTGATTTAAGTTTTTACTTTCTAGTTGTTGTACTATTTAATTGTTTAATTGTTCATTGGGTTTGCCAAATCTTTAACTTTCTTTTATTTTAAAATCTAAAACAAATATTTGTTTAAAAGAGGAAAGATATTATTTTATCAAAAAAGTAAACAAAAGTCTGACTTCATCTTTGTTTTTATTCTAAATCAAGGTTGTATTATTTTAGAATTGGTGTAATTATTCTATCCTTTATTTTTCTCTATAATTAACTCAAAAATCATAATAGGAGTAAAACTATTAAAGTATTCTCTTTCAAAAAAAACTATTTAAGTATTCTTTCTTTTCGGTAGACCAACAAAATATTTTTTAAAAAACAAAAAAAAAAATATTCAAATGATATCAACCATTTGCCACATTAAAAACTTAAAACAGGTTCTTTCCATTGGAGTAAACGACAGGTCACATGTGTATCCAATTATTCATTAGATTTTAAATGTCAATGGGTTGAAGGTGCACATTTGCCTTTGCCTGTGAATGACCTACATTTGGGCTCCACCAAACTACTCTCCAAGTTCAAGCCCATGGATTAAAGAGGCTACCCTCCAAGTTAGTTGAACCCAGCCTATCATGAGCCAAGACAATTTTGGGCCAATTTTTGCCTAGTTGCATTTATGGGTGGACCAGTTTTCACAGGATTCAGCAAGGCCAATTTTGGAACAATTTTGGAGTTGTTTCATGGAAAGCCCACGTCATATGGTTAGGTCCTTTAGCAAAACAATATAGCCCAATAGCCTATACTTTGGTATGTAGGTGAATGGGTGGGCTCCTGGCTCCACGATTGTTTGTTCTTCTTAGTGTTTGACTCTTTTTTTATGTGAGTTTTTTAGTCTTGTATATGTAATATGTTAATTCATCACCATCCATATAAATGTAAGTTTATTTATTATACTAATTTGTTATAATATGTTTATCTTTTTTGTAGATATCAACTATGGGAGACAATGACATTGAAATGGAAAACAAAAATGGGTTTGGACCTCATAATGATGTGAATACAAAGAAAGCAACTTCAGAGGTAACACTCAAGCAACCAAGCAAAAATGCATCTTCTGTTTGGAAACATTTTATTAAAAAGAAAAATGCAGATGATTAAAAACCAACTTGGGCAAATTGTAATTACTGCAATCAAGAATTCAGGTGTGCAAGTTCTCAAGGAACTAGCACACTTTCTAGGCATTTATCCAAATGCAGTAAATGTCCTTTTAGTGCAAAGGACAAAAATCAACAAGTTTTGTCATTTCAACCAACTACATCAAATGAACAAGGAAAATATGTCATAGTTAATTGGAAATTTGAACAAGAGCATTGTCAGAAACAACTTGCCCTGATGATAATTCTTGATGAATTGCCTTCCAATTTTGTGGAACATGAAGGTTTCCAAGATTTTGTGAGGGCTTTACAGCCTAGATTTAATATCATGTCCCTTACAACTGTGACAAAGGATTGTTTAGAGTTGTACAAGGATGAAAAAAAGAATTGAAAGACATGATTTCAACAATGGATCAATGCATTTGCCTCACTACACACATGTGGACATATAGGGGTGAGCATTCGGTTTATTCAGTTAAAAACCGAATTGAATAAACCGAAATTTTTAAAACCGAAATTGAAATCGATTTACAATAAAACTAAAATAACCGAACCAAAATTTTTAGTTATGTTTTTGGTTATTTCGGTTAAAAACTGAATTTAGTTATTATATATATAATATTATATATTATAACCTATAGTATATATTATTATAATATATATTATGAAATTTAATTTCATTATAATACATTATATATAATATATTAATATATAAATATATAGCACATTATATATTATATATTATATAATTAATTTTAGCTAATTCGGTTTTTTCAATTAACCAAAATTTTAAATATGAAAACTAAAATTGTTAAAAATTGAATTACCCAAAAACCGAAAAGTTTGACAAATATTGGGGAAATGTTGACAAGGTTAACCTATTGTTGGTATTTGATGTGATTCTAAACCCAAGGTATAAATTAAAGTATGTGAAATTTTGCTATTAAAAGATTTATGAAGCTGAAAAGGTTCATGAAATGATTGAAAAGGTTATGGATGGCTTGAGTTGTCTCTTCAAATACTATCAAATTACTTATTCAGGCCCCCAAACATCAACTACTGAGGTTGGACCTTCTGTTGAGCTTGCTATGGATGATGAAAATATAAATACTTAAGATGAATATTAGAGCTTTTTGAAGGAAGAAGAAATCAATCAATCAAGGTCAGAATTGGATAGATATTTGGAAGAAAGTATCAAAAATGACACACAACATTTTGATATTTTGAAATGGTGGAGTTCAAGTGTTGCTAAATTTCGCACCCTTTTTTTTATGGCACGAGACATTTTTACAATTCCAGTGTCCATAGTTCCTTTAGAATCAGCCTTTAGCACTAGTGGTCGAGTGCTTAACAGATTTTGCAGTTCTCTAACACCTAAAGTTGTTCAAGCTTTAGTGTGTGCACAAAATTGGTTACGATCAGCGTTCCCAACACTAGAGCCTGAAGGAAAATTAGAAGAAATTGAGGATGTAGAAAAAGGTGAATTGTTTTATCTATTTATGTTAATGAATTATGATAATATTGAAGTACTTTAATGTGAAACTCTAATGACTATATTTTCTATTTTTCAGACATTTTAGTTGATGAGGGTAATACTACACTCCACTTTTTTCCTAACATGTAATGTGTCTCTTTCAAGGTAAGATTATTAAATAAGCATAATCTAATGTTATTATTTAATATATTTTATAATAATGTTAACATATTATTATTTATTTTTTAGGTCGCAAGAGTGAATGATGGAGTAGGAGGACACGAGGACTAGGGAATAGTAGTTTTCATCATATCAGGGACTTAAGAGCCAAGACTATATGAATTTATGATTTTTGAGTTTATTTTTATGATTGGATGAAACATTTTAGAACCATCTATTATATATTTGGACAATTAGAAATAGCATGTTATGGAATATGGAGCTTCGGAACAATTTTATAATTGTGGCGCTTAAATAGTTTCTTTAAAATTGATATGGTTGTGTTTTTCTTTGTTTGTTTTCTTTTTCTTTTTTTGCATGAGAAGTTGATTCTAGTGTGATTATTGTAATTTCTTACTCTTGTTGTGATGTTGTCTATGAGAACTAATTGTAAATTCAGCCAAAGGATAAGTTGTAGATGAAGAATTCATTTCTAATTGAACTAAAAGTTAAGTTGATTTCTATTCCACTTATTTGCATGTATTAAATTATATAATTTATTTTATTATTCAGGAGTGTTTTCACTAATTTTGTCATTGTTGTTTCTCTTTGTTTTATAGGTAATTAGGTATATGCTTATATTGCTATTGGGGTTATAGGTGAGGTGTTCATTTGTTTCATTATTCACAGGTACTTGACTACTTCTCTTTTCCTTTTGTCTTGTAATTTTTATGTGTGACCTATCAAATAGATTCAAATTATTTGCTTAATCCTATGAGTTGTTATTAGTGACTTTATTTTCATAATTTTATGTTTCATTATTGCTGATTTCATGAATTTATATTTTTGAGAAAAATTCTATCATAAGTCATAACTCATGATAAATAAATACTTATTTTTCTACTAGATTTTAAGGGATGGGAAGGTTGGGTTGGGCCCAACCCAAGCCCAACCCAACCCAAAGATGACATTGGGTTGGGTTAGGGTTGAAGGAATTAGTTAGGGTTAGGGTTAAGGTTAGGGTTGG